GACAGGGGGTGAGGCCGCGACGGGGGGGAGCGCTGCCCCCTCCCTTCATGCCCCGCACTCTCAGGCTGCCAGGACGACCTTCTCGCCCCCAAGCTGAGGTTGGCTTTCGCTTTCCCCGACCGGGTGCCCTCCAGATGTGGTGGGCTTGAAGCCCCCTCATTCCCACTCAGCGGAGGATCCTGGGGATGAGGGCTCAATACACCTGAAAGAACCGGGTTTTTGCGGGGGGGGGGGAGAGGGCTAATTTAAACCCAGTACCCACTTTTGTAAGAGGAAGCATCATTGAGCTTGGGGGAGGTTGGGTTGGGTTGTGACATTAGCGGCTAGGAACACTTCTCTGCCACCGAGTAAAAACCTCCTTCTGAGGAAGGAAGGTGTCTTCCTTTTAAAATAAAACTGTAGAGGAGCTTTTATTCTAAGGTAACATCATCTTGGAGTTCACTTCCACTCCTGGGGATTTTATAAAGTGAGGTTTTCTTAGGAACAATCTCAAAGCGTTTCACTACTGCTTTCTTTCAGGATGTTTTTTCAGCTTCCAGGCCTAGCCTGCAACTCTGAGATCTCCTAGTGGTCTCTCATCCAACCCCTAACCCGGTCTGATCCTACTTAGCTTTTTGAGGTCAGTTAAGATCAGTTCAATGCAGTAAGTGCATTAATGAGAGCAGAATGAGCTGTCCGACTCCATTTGTGTTCCTATGACCAATTCTTTTCCCTTTAAGAATCGTCATTTTGTTTGTAGCTCGTATTACTTTCAGCAGAGCTGGACAGGTCATGCTGAACTTCTGGGATTTCTTACAGACCTCCTGAGAGCTCTTGATGGCTGTGTTGGCTCAACATGTAAAATCATAAACCATGATTTACAAGTACCCTGGCTAAGCCAAACCCAAACAAGCCGCATGTCTTAGTGTGGTATATGAACTAAGCCATCAAATTCAGCCATAAGTTAGTTAGCTCTGTCTTAACCTGCTTATGCACACAGTCACTGTGGGTCATGCAAATACAACTGCTGTTTCCAATGGACATCCTTGCCTATTATTTTATTATAACCATAGTTGGCAAGGATCTATGCTTTGCTGGCCATGCAGTGAAGATCTGTCTAATTCTTTTTTCCATACTGCATTAAGCTACGCGCCCCACCCTTCTCGCTAGTAATCGGAACAGTAAACTAGTTCACTGGTGTTCATGGAGAAGGCAAGGGGCAAGTGATACGGGGTGCATCGTCACCTGATCGTGCAAGTGATGCAAATGACATAATTGGTATCATTTCTGCAACGATGTCATGCATGACATCGCCATGTCTTGTTAGTGGATAGTTTTGAATTGATGTGATGAAGGAAATAAAATTTGTGCTTTAGAGCAGTGTTTTTTAACCTCGGCAGCTTTAAGATGTCTGGACTTCAACTCCCAGAATTGCTGGTTGGGGAATTCTGGGAGTTGAAGCCCAGACATCTTAAAGTTGCTAAGGTTGAGAAACACTGCTTTAGAGTATCCAGAGATGAAGGGGGCAAAAATAGTAGTTTTATTTTTCATGTGCCTGTAACTAAGTGCAATACAAAACAGTGAAACGCAGCACCAAAAGTTTGGTATAGTTAGGCACTGCATTCCAATATGAGATCACAACATAATAACATAAATTAAAATGAATTATGCCTTATGCTTTCCTGATATTTCTCCAGCTTCCTGGAACAAGGTGAATTATGAACCTACACACATTGGGCTAAACTAGGGATGCAGAAAGTGTGACTTGTCAACCTCCAGTTTGCAGCCCCAGAGTGGGTGGGATCAAAACTTCCAGCCCCCTCCTCATTGCATTGTTTGCAAAAAGGGGAGAGGTTAGAGCAGGGTTCCTCAACCTTGGCAACTTTAAGAAGGGTGGACTTCAACTCCCAGAATTCTTCAGCCAGCCATGCTGGTGGTG